TCATAAACTTCTGATTGACATCAGTATTTTCTGGCATTGTGCAGTATTTTAATGTTTCATTACGTTTGATCTCCATTGTTCGATCGAAAGTAAATTAATTATTATTAAAAATGTTTTTAGAACTTCACGTATTTGTTCTTCTACATTGTTGCGTCCCTGAGCGTTCATTACACATACTAAGCATTGTTTCTTTTTTTTAAGGTTATGTGTTTTTCAATTTTGTTCATTCTAACCTAAAGTGACACATTTCAGAATGGCCATCGTAGTAAAAAGATGTGATAGTGATGTATTATAATGACAAATAAGTTACTGGTAGGATCAGAGATTATAATCTCTGGTAGGATATAGCAAAATGCATTTTTCAGCTTTCTAATAAATAATGTAAGGTCCTCTAACGAGAGGGTGGGGTAGTGATAGATATTTGCAATTTTTTTTCCTCCTCAATATATTTGTATGATTTTATTAATTAAAACGATTCTCTAGGATGATCACATAATTGTTGGTGTACATTTTTTCGAAGAAAACATTTTCACCTATTTGGTACTCGCTTCGGGGAATGAAAGAAATAGAACAAGTAAAGTGATTCAAGGTATTTTCCTTTATTCAATGAAGAAATTATCACCATCAATTAAATTATTCAAGAAAAAAGTAGCAAGTCTTTTTTTCAGTATAAATACATATCATTCAATTCAATCAAAAGACATAAAAAATACTTCAACATTAAATTCGAAAACTTGGTTTTTCATCACAGAATAATACTCTCTGAACACATGCAAACAGAAGGAATGGATTGTATAGATTGTGTGATCGGTAAAGTGCTTGAGAATGACGATTTTTGAGAGGATTTACTACATAATCTCGATAGATGCCTCCATTCTGAAGAAAATAGCGAAAAGGTGTGTCAGAACATTTTGAATGCTGCATCAAAATAGCAAAACGTAATAATTAATAATAACGTTAGACAACTGATTCAATTGATAATATAATCGAATTCTATTTCTTACACGGTAATAGTGCCCTTGAGCTTTTCATCTATGGTATTTGAGGTCCTGATTGCGCTTTACTATATTCATACAGCATCCATTTTGCCCCACTACTTTGAGATATAATTGTTTTACTGAGGTCATGGAAAATATCTTCAAAGATGTCTAGACTCCCAGGATTTTCAATTATTCAAGTGTGATCAATTATTTTCAATAAAATAAAAAACGATTGGATTTGTGGCGACACTCATCTATCATCTACTTTTAATTTTTATCTACCAAACATTGAATATTACTTAATTAATTTACTACACTAGATGAAATCACTTAGAAAACGTTATATACAAAAAAGAAATGCAGATTATGAAAAAATTTGTAGAAAGTTAATAAGTTGTTTTTTTTTGTGCATATACTGTTCCTGTCTCACATAAAAATAAGAATAATTCTATGTGCTACTCTAAAATTAATTGAACCTTCCTCCATTCATTAAGTGGTGCGCGTTATGAGATTTATCATTAATTATATTCTAGAGTCTTTTAGTATTTAGTTCCATTGTTGGGGTAGGGTTTCCACGTCACTCCACTAATTCCACTGGGTTCATTCCATTTTAATGCTAGTTAAAATTTTAATTGTAGGTCAATTCGTATGGGTTTTTAGAGAGATTTGATTGGATCTGGATCTCATTATGATAGACTGCTTTCCGTTGTCGATTCTCACTGGGCATTCAGCTCCGATCTATCAAAATATTGAAGAACTATTTTATTATAATAGTGGAGGCGATCCTACTGTAATTGAAAAATTCTGCTACTCCATGAAGTTTGATGTACTTTGCTATTGATGTAGCCATTTAAAAAATATGAACCGAGCCCCCCAAAGCTTATCAAATATTGCAGAAGTAGGTGTTGGGGGATTCATAGTCCCCATTAGGCCTCTGCTTTTCGTATTCGAAGCACTCCTTCAATTATTGATCTTCTAAACTAGTTCGACTAGTTGGCATTTTTTTTTTATAGTGGGCGAATATTTTAGAAGGGAATCCAACCAATTCGGTATATGAAAAATTGTCGCAAGTCCATGAGTTTTTAAAATAATCTTTAAAAATACTTTTCGATGAAAAGGGAAAAATTGAGCGTGAACGGACA